AGAGAGAGAGAGAGAGAGAGAGAGAATTTTTTAATATTTATTTTTTAGTTCTCGGCGAACACAACATCTTTGTATGGGGTGCTGAGGATTGAACCCCGCACCGCACGAATGCCAGGTGAGCACGCTACCACTTGAGCCACATCCCCAGCCCCTATTGTCTCATTCTTGATGTGCAACCTTTCTCTGTGTACATAAGTATCTTCAGTAATGTTCCCTAACCCAGCACGCTGGACTATGGATGGCCTTTGATCTTTCTATTTCCATCTTGTATTATTCCTCTCATCCTTCAATCCTACTCATTCAGCTTCCACCACTCTCCTAGGTCCTACTCAGATCTGTCCTCCACCATGTTTTTGTTCCCCAATAACTCTTGACTTTCTGTTTGTTCTTTTTCAAAGTTCCTTATACACATTGTGTGAGCTACAGTTATACTTTTATTTTGTTCCTCCTTCATCTGTGTTCAATAATTTCCTCTTCACATCGTAAGCCCTTTGAAGGCAATGATTGTGTAAAAACCTCTAATCCCCCACCCCCAACAATACCAAATAAAATGCTAAGCATGAAATAAATAAAGCTCAGTAGCATTGTTTATTTTCTAGCAGAGGAGAGGGTAATTGCTCTACATTTCACTGAACCTTTATTGGGACTGTTCATACATTTCTTCTCATTTGATCTTCTCCAAAAATTAACACCATTTGTCAAAAGTTCTTTTTTACCTGTCCTATTTTTAATCCTATGTGATAATCAAATGACATCCAAACTTGTCTGGAAGGAAAATTTGTCTTCCTATTTAGAAATTTGCTCTCCATTCTGCCCACTAGACTTTGGTTTAAGGGTCTTCACAATTTTAATATGTCAGGGTGACTTAAGTCCAGAAAACCATATGGCCCCAGTGAACTTGATAAACAAGGAGCAGGCTGAAGATATGCTTAGTGGAGAGAACATTTTCCCTATAGTGTTCATTGTCAGTCAAGAAGTTAAATGAGTGAAGAACTCAAGGGCAACCTGGGAGTCTGAAACAGCACTTCCCCAGGTGCAAAGGAAGATGTGAAATTGCTGACATGGGTTTTGAAAAGTTTAAATTGTGAAGAAAGGGGAAATGGTAACTGGGATGTGTTTTTTAACTAAAACTAAAATCAAAGCTCATCATTTCCAAGCACAAAGTGAGTGCAGGCTTTGAGGATTGCTCTCATTTTAATTTTAGACAATTTTCTAATTTTCATCTGCTTTCTACTGGCATATGTCCCTCTTCGCAGTCTCATTGATTCAAGTGTCTGTATTTGTGAGGAGAAAAGGATGTTCTAACAACTTTTCCTTTTAAGTTGTTAGTGTGATTATCAGCACTGAGGTCCATTTGTTTAGCAGCTGAACTGCTTTAATACATCATTCAGATCCCCGTGTCTCTTACGCACTGAACTTTCCTGTATCTTTTCTCATTCTTATCATCTGTCATAAGGGACCATCATGGAGGTATGCAGTTTCTTGATTTCAAACTGAGTTGCTGTTGAAAATTTGAAGAATCTCTAGCTACTTCGACAAGAAAAATGGACTTAAGGTATCTTACTATTTTCCTAAGTATGTACAAATTATAAAAGTAGACTAAACCTCAAGTATGGTTTTGAGCTACTTCAAACTCCTGCCTTCACATTTCCTATTTTCTAACCACTCTATCTTTGAATTGTCCTTTTCCATCTTAAAGGAAGTGGGCCAACATAGTTTTTTAAAAAATTTTGTTTTGTTTCTTTCTCTTTAAATCCTACTCTTTAGATTTAGATCTTATAGGCACATAAATTAATAACATGAATACTATGATTAAGTAAGCTTTTGATAATCATGAAAATTTCTCTTTGATCTAAGCGTTTCAGTTGCAGCTGATACAGCTTTGGTGGTTGATAAATTGGCCTGGAGAAATGTGACCTCTTAGAGCTAGACTGATAAGAAACCTGAGAAACATCTTAAATGCCACAAAGCTGAAATGAGTCTGCCTCAGTAAAAATTCTTTCAAGAATACATTGAGATTGTAAAAAAAAAAAATAGTCATTGTATATTCTTACAGGGGAATAATTAATTGATTTGAGAAGCATTTTGAAAGCCTCTTTGTCCATCTGCTAAACTTTGTTAAGGATTAGAATTAACATGGATGTGCTCATTGAATGGAGAGAAAGAAGTGAAAGATAGAGGATTCAATTTAAGAACAATTTTATTTTTAGATACTCTATGAACTTCATGTAAATAGTTTCTATGCCTGAAATAACACCTTTGTGTGTGCTAATCATTAAGGTTTGATTCACATGGGCCAAGAGTGAACTAGTGAAAAAAAACAAAAAAAACAGGAAGTTGTTTTTTGGAATGTTTCCTAACTCCAACACCACTATTATCACCCCCCGCCTTTTTTAAAGAGAGAGTGAGAGAGGGAGAGGGAGAGAGAATTTTTTAATATTTATTTTTTAGTTTTCGGCAGACACAACATCTTTGTATGTGGTGCTGAGGATCCAACCTGGGCCGCACGCGTGACAGGCGAGTGCGCTACTGCTTGAGCCACATCTCCAGCACCACCCCGCCCCCCCCAGACTTTTTTTAGTACCAAGGATTGAACTCAGAGGCACTTGACCACTAAACCACAACCCCAGCCCTATTTTGTATTCTATTTAGAGACCGGGTCTCCTTGAGTTGCTTAGCCCCTAGCTTTTGGTGAGGCTGGCTTTGAACTCAAAATTCTCCTGCCTCAGCCCCCAGGAGCTGCTGGGAATTTATCCTTTTGTTGCCTGGATTTTTATATGTTTGTTTCTTAGATCAAGAGACAACTAAAACTGTTAGGACATATTTTTCTAATGTTTTCCTATTTCTGGTTTCAGGAAAAATGTCATTAATTACACATTATAGATGCAATCTATATTATGGTATCATTAGAACTCTGATTTGCACTATATATATGGACTAAGCTAGAATTCTTTACTGTTCAAAAATCAAACATCACCTAACAAATTTTAGTATGTACAGGTATTTCTATAGACCATCAGCTATGAACAAAAGTTTTTTAATCTAAGACTCTTCAAAAGACTCAGAATTACACTGGGTACAGTGGCACACGCCTAAGATCCCATCAGCTTAGGAGGCTTGGGGCAGAAGGATTGTGAAAGCCAGCCTCAGCAACTTGGCAAGGCCCTAAATAACTCAGTAAGACCCTTTCTCTAAATAACATATAGAAAAGGGCTGGGGATGTGGCTCAATTTAAGTGCCCTTGGGTTCAATTCTCTAGTACCAAAAAAAAAAAAAAATCAGAATTATTATGATTGTATAAATTCAGAAACAAAGCATCAAATAAAGCATCTTTGGGTTCAGTCCCTGGTACCAAAACAAAACAAAAAACTACAGAACTCCTTTGCAAATACTGATAGTTTATGGATAACTAAATTAGACAAATTTACAATTATAATGGTCTTCATGTATTTGTTTATTTACAAGCTTAATTGGTTTCAATTTAAAAATGATCAGCATTTCTCAGATTCACATTTATTTGTATCAGAGAAAAGGAAAAAGTCTATTTTCTGAAACTTTGAGATTTGTTTTTTTTTTTTTGTTGATTCTACGGACTTAATATCTACTGCAATATCTCACTTTCTGCATTGGGTTTCTGGATGTCCTTCTAATCAGACTTTTACGTGAATGACATCTGTTGTTGGAGAAGAAGCATGACAGATTTGGGCAAAATAATGAGCATTCCTTTAAAGGCCAACTGAGGACGAAAGGTATTGTTCAGCACATTTTTACTCCTGATGTACTAACTTCCCCCCTCCCTCTCTCTCTCTCTTTTTTTCCTCTCTTTCCTCATATGAAGCATTGCATCATGCCTGAGGATGAGACACTCACTGACTAAAAATGTCAGGCTTTCTTTGTGTCTGGCAGATAATGCTGTCATTTGAAGTAAAATAGCTCTTACGAGGCAGAACAACCTTCCCGAGTATTTCATTCCTGGGACTGTTTGCATTCTTTCCCAGTGAGCAAGGGAACAGACACCAGAACCTATTTATAATAGGCAAGAAGAGATACTAAACTTTTAGATGCAGTGTAAAGAATAAAAATCTGAAGTGGCTGAGTGGAACTTCTGTGTGCCTCTCTCCAGCAAGCATCTTTCCCCCTTTTCAGTGAGATGTGGCTGTATGTCAGCCTGGGAGAACTCAGGGCCAGCCTGTGACATGGAAATGGCAAAAGCTGGATTGACACCATACATGGTGAAGTCAAAAAGACACGCTTTCTTGAGCTGTTTCTGAAATATGTGGGGTTATTTCAGTGCCTGATGAATAAATAGAACTCGAGGCACTCTAGAGGATAATGTCAGAGAATTTGAAAGGAGTCGGTGAATTTTCCCAGGCGGTATCAGTCAGCCAATTGTATCTCAGCTTTGGCTCTCACTTTAGAAACATTTCAGTGCAGAAGGGTCTGAGCCCTCTGTGAGTGCAGGAAGGCTGGCCGGCTCCTCTCAAAGACATGGGGGAGTTTCCACCTCACCATTTATTCCTTATAACCTCAGGATCAAAGCACTGAAGCAAAACAAAAAGAATTCCACAAAACAAAACCTCAGACATATGACAGCATTGTCTTTAGTATCAGCTCTAAAACACTTTACCCAGTAATTAACCAATAATATCAGAATTTAAATCACTCCTCCTGGTTTCCTGGTGCCCTGCCCAGTAATGCCTGTCATTGAGAAATGCAGATCAATAGCAAATGGAAAGTCAGTGGACTGGTGCTCCTGCAGTGTAACCAATCCACTGGCAGTGCCCAGACCTACTCATCCTGTGGCCCCTGTAGCTGTGTGGAAAACACTTAAGGCACAGCATCTTGGCACTCTATTTCATTCCTTTATTTTTTTCTTTATTCCTTTATTTTACTCACATAGGGATGACCTCTTTGAATTGTGTAAGCATTTAATACTATGAGAATTAACTACTTTTTTTTAATTTTAGGTATGACAGCTTGTGAGGTTTGCTTACCCTCAGGAAGAATCAAGTAACTGGACATTTTTAGGAAAAAAAAATCCACTCAAATTAAAGGGAGGATGGTGCTGGTCCCATGTAAAATAGACAAAGATATAGCTTTAGGCAGTTAAGAGAGGTATTGATGGGGAGAGACAGTCTTTCCTTTGTATTTTATGGCTTTATTCCTTTATTTTACTTATATGGAGATGTCCTCTTTGAATTGTGTAAGCATTTAATACTGTGAGAATTAACTTTTTTTAAAATTCATTCTTTTTAGATATATGTGACAGCAGAGTGTATTTTGACACAGTTTACATACATGGAGTATAACTTATCCTAATTAGGATCCCATTCTTGTGGTTGTACATGATGGGGAGTTTCACTGGTCATATATGAACACAGGAAAGTTACATTCAATTCATTCTACTGTCTTTTCTATGCCCATCCCCCACACTTCCCTTTATTCCACTTTGTCTAATCTACTAAACTTCTATTCTGCACTCCCCCCCACACACACACATCTTATTGTGTTTTAGCATTCACATATCAGAAAGAACATTGGCTTTTGTATTTTGGGGGTTGGGTTATTTCACTAAGCATGATAGTTCCATCCATTTGCCAGCAAATGTCATAATTTTATTCTTCTTTATAGCTGAATAATATTCCTTGTGTACATATACCACATTTTCTTTATTCATTCATCTGTTGAAGGGTACCTAGGTTGGTTCCATAGCTTAGCCTATTGTAAATTCAGCTGCTATAAACACTGACATGGTTGTGTCACTGTAGTATGTGGGGGTCTACAATTGACTTGTTTAATATGATCTATGAAACGTGGGAGTTAACCTTCTTAGCTAAAACTGCATATGAGAAATGTAGTTCTTCTTTTCTAAAGAAATGTTTATTGAAATTGACATTCTGAGCTCTCCTATAGAAACAAAGTCATATCCAAGAGGCTTCTTCAAGAAGAACATGCATGTAGAAGAGGGTGCTCATTATTATAACTATCTCTTCTTCATTGCAGGCACAATGGTATGCCTTATCTTTACTCAACACTGTGGGCCATCAGACCTACATTAGAAAACAGTTAACTAGAAAACAACTAATTATGGCATCTCTATGTTTGTATTATAAATTTAAATCTTCAGTCTAAACTTTTTCTAATACCAGTAATCTGATATTGCAAACATCTTTATAATGAAAGAAAAGGGAAAATCTTGATCAGACTTTGGGATCTCAGCAGGCTTTGGAGGGGGATCAAATTAATAATTTACTTTAAAGTGTTTTGTTAAATTTCAAAATGCTATATCAATTAAAAATATTATTAAAATGACTTATTAAAACATTAACTTTGAGACATTTATTTTCATTGATATTGTTAAAATAATAAATGGATATGGGTCAGGAAATTACCATATTGGCACATGTATTACCTTAGGCAGATACTGATCTCTTTATGTGTATTGATTGTCTCATATGATCTTCTCCATCCTGTAAGAGGTGTAACTATTATTATTATTTCCATTTTTAAGTGTGAAAATTAAGGCTCATAAAGATTATGAAACCCATAAGTTGTAGAGATGCAGACCTTTATGACTCCAAAAAATATGCTTCTGACCATTAAGTTCTAGTTCCTGAAATAAAACAAAAAACCTAGTAGATAACTTTATTCTAATGGTCATATGCTATGTTTATCAGACTTTGTTTGTTTAGATCTTTTCTTTTTTTAAATAAAATATCTTGGAATGATTCTGTACTCTTTATGGAGGGAGCTAGCACAAATAGGCTGTCAGTGGCAAACGTCAGTGGTTCATGTGAAAGATTATTATCTTTGGTGATAAAAAGAGTGCTGGGCTAAGGGCCCAGAGACAGGAATCTGCCATGTCCTGGCTGTGAGATGTGTGTAAATTATATATCTGGCATTGCATTGTCTCAGATCCCTTCTGGCTCTGAAATTCTGTGGTTCACTTACAAAGCCTTCCATCTGAAGATTTGGCATTGTTTATGAAAAAGACACACATAGTTCAAATCCCAAGGAAAATATGTTCTATGATTGATTATGGTAATGGTTGCACAACTCTAAATATACTAAAAGCCATTGAGTTGAACATTAAAACCCATGAATGTTATTCTATATAAATTGAATCTCAATAAAACTACTAAAAACATATAGATGTATAGGTGTATATGTACACACATTAAGTAATCACACACACACATATGTAATTAAGAACTCACAGTTAACAATACCATGCTCCATCGAAGCATTTTTTTTTTCACAAAACAGAAGCAGCTAATTGGTATTAAAATGATTAATGTTAAATATTGAAATAAAAATATAGTAACATATAATATGAAATGCTCTAATAGTTGACAGTGTAATGTAAGAAGAGACTCATCTAAAAAGAAAGTTCATATGATGTGCTTTTTGAGTGGAGCTTCTGAGCATCTCTCCACCAATGGAGAGATGTTTCCCAATGGCAGATTTATTGCAGGCCGACAGAACAGAAATTGTTCCATGCCCCAGTTGCACTTATACTGATGATGTTATGCCAGGTCTTGACTTCACATTGTACAAGTTCTTTTATGTTTGTGTCACTTTCCTCCACACCTTACAGGCAAAGAGACTGAATAGAAAGGGAATAGGATATTTATTCTTGGTGACCTAGACACTGGCAGAACTGAAGTCAGAGTCTATATGCATGTATTACTACTAAAGGGCACAACGATAAAAAGTCAGTGTTTGCCTTGAAATACTTTAATTTAGTACAATAGCAACTGTGTAGACATGGCACATGAAATAGCCTACCTTTTTGGATTCAGTTATTACTGGATGGATTGATTGCAAATATTTTTAATTTTAGCCATTGAGTTTGCCCAGGCTTCTTTTTGCCCTTTTATTTATAAGAAAATTTGAGATTATAAATAGATCATCACTGCTTGAAAATAAGAGGGTCAGTAGGGTCAATATATAAATAAAGGCCACCATATTTCCCTCTTTTTTTGAGACACACAGAAATATAAAGAAATACACGTATATAGTAATTAATTTTTTTAAAACATCCTTTTTTTTTTTTTACATCTTTAGACCTCAGAAGAGTGTCTAAAGTCTCTTCAGACCTGCTAAGAGTGCTTTAAGATATCTTCTGCCAAAATAAAAATCAATTGAGTTAGAAAATTCCTTCCTGATTCAGATTCTTTTTGCAAAACAAGTATCCTGTTACTGAGGTATGACCACTTTTCTAGTATCAATGCCATGTGCAGTTTTGCTGTCAGATGTCACATTGCCCCTCAGGATGCCCCTCCCAATCGCTCAGCAACAGCAGTACCTTAATGAAGGAAGCCTGTTTCTACAAAGAAAACTCAGTGTAGGTTTGCAAATAATGATAATCTTATGTAGATATTGAACTGGATACCACCCACTAAAGATTCTGCACACATTTCCTTTTCAAGACGGGAAATTTCTATTTAGTCTATGGCTTCATGTGTGACTGTGAGCCAGTTTCTTATTCAGAAGCTGACGGTGGCATATTTTTTCCACCTTGATTATTTTCTTGGGATTTCTGGCCATCCTGTCTAGGCTTCTGCTCCTGGCAGGTGGGTCCCATCAGCATCCAAACGATGCAAGGACTGAGATGCTCTCTAAATGCCTGACTGAGAAGCTCGAGTAACTTTTCCTCTTTTACAAATAACCTCAGGGTATAAGACTGCAAAAACACATGGGTAGTCTTTGTGGACATCTCTGTAGAGTGTTTTGTTTTTTTTTTTTTTTCTCCTAAGGAATTCCTGCTACATTTCCCTCAAGCCTTTTTTAAAAATATGAATTTCCTTTTCACAATTGAGACAGGTGGGAAAAATTACTATGGGCTGATTTGTGCCCTGATGCCCCCACCAATTCATACGCTGAAGCCCAAACCTCTGGTAGGGTGGTTTGTAGAGACGAGTCCTTTAGGAGAAAATCAAGTTAGATGAAGTCACAAAGGTGGGGCCTGCATGATGGGATTAGTACCTTTGTAAGAGACTTTAGCAGGTTCGCTCTGTCTTCCTCCTTGCCATGTGAGAACTCAGGGAAAAGATGGCCATTGATAAACCAGAAAGAGAGGTTTCATTAGAAACAGGATTCTTCCAGACCTCGATTCTAGAATTTCCAGTCTCTACAATTATGAGGAAGTTTCTCTTTGTTTAAGCCACCCAGACTATGCTACTTTGTTATGACAGTCCAAACTAAAATACTTGTCCTATAGAAAATATCAATGTAAATATGACTTGGTTATTTTGGGTAACCAAACAGTTGGGTATTTTGATTTATAAAGCAGCCAACCTTACTTGTCCATTTAAGAAATCCATTTATGGTTAACTGCAAAAAACATCAAGAGGTTGTATGTGTAGGAAATTTTAATAGATTTTGTCCTAAAAGGCTCCCAGGGTTTTATTACAAGTTAAGAGACTCTGTGGTTGAGTAACAGAATCCTGAGAGCTTATTATATGCTACATCTCCTATAGAGAATGAAAAAATCATAAAGACAAAGCAAGATCTGATACTAATTGTATAGTAAGCAAAGAACTCAATCTTCCACTTCTGGCCATAATGAAGTGACTGTTACTAGACTTGCTTTCCTATAGTAAATAAACATAAAACTGGAATCTATCTATCTATCTATCTATCTATATCTATATTTATATAGATATAGATAGATAGATAGATAGATAAAGCAATTGATTTCATGCATTTCAAGCAGCACAGGACTATGATAATTGATAGTAGGAAAGCACATGAGGTGAACCCTGATATTCAATCTACCTGTTGGCCTGTGGATACTTTTCTTACTGTGGAACAAGAGAGATCTCCAAGTAGAGCAGCAGTCTTGCTGAATGTAGGGGGCAGAGATGAGAGTTTGAGTTTTTTGACATGACTACAATTTACAAGGCAGGATACCACAAACAAACCAACCAAAAAACAAAAAGAGCTTTGTGTGTGTGTGAAATGAGAGGAGGAGAGAATAGAAATTCTCAGGGCAGTTCTCTCTGGATCCTTAACAAGGAGTTGGA